TGAACACAGCCAGGTGAACACAACCAGGTGAACCCCCACCCAGCCACAACAGGAGCGCCTGCCACCATTACATAAACAAGGGTTAATGGAGCACAGCGCATCGGTCAGAATCAACAAAAAACACAGCAATCACTGCACAAACGTTTCGAAATATTCAGGAATTGTGTCGAGGTTTGGAACGTGAAGAAGTAAACAACATTACTGTAGTTCTTACACCACACTTCAGCACCGGGCCGTATTCACCTAGTTGTATTCACCTAGTTGTATTCACCTAGTTGTATTCACCTAGTGGTATTCACCTAGTGGTATTCACCTGGTTGTATTCACCTAGTGGTATTCACCTGGTTGTATTCACCTAGTGGTATTCACCTGGTTGTATTCACCTAGTGGTATTCACCTGGTTGTATTCACCTAGTGGTATTCACCTAGTTGTATTCACCCAGTTGTTACTCCTCAATGTATCTTGAGGTTATCTTCGAGATTATCTTGAGGTTATCGTGAGGTTATCTTGAGATGATTTCGGGGCTTTAGTGTCCCCGCGGCCCGGTCCTCGACCAGGCCTCCACCCCCAGGAAGCAGCCCGTGACAGCTGACTAACTCCCAGGTACCTATTTTACTGCTAAGTAACAATGGGACAATGGTGGGTAGAGAGGGGGTGGGGGGGTGGGGGTTCTGCCCCACCACTGAGGTAAAAGAGGGGGGGGGGAGGAAGGTAGATGAATGACAGAGCTAGAGAAAACGAGGAAAACACGCCACACTGAGTAAGTGATTACACTGCAGGGCGGAGTTCAATTACCCAGAGAGCTGACTCACTCCACACTACCCCCCCCCCCCTAGCCCCCACCACCCCCCACCCCCACCATGCCATACTCAGGAAACACCCCCCCCCTCCCCCACCAAATACTAACCCCCCTACACACACAACTCACAATAGCGTTATGCAGAAGAACTTGTGGTTACAATTCTTTTGACCATGTCGTAGCTCAGTCGATTAAGGCAGCGTCTGGGGATGCTCTCGGACGTAGGTTCGAATCCTCGTCACGGCCCTTGTGGATTTGTTCACTAACCACCTTCGTGGGCTCCACCACCTTTACTCTCATTACTAAATCACTCAATCACATAAGGGGCATAACTGGCCGACCCCTCACAGTGTTCTAGAGAGAACTGGATAAGCACCTCCAAAGGATACCTGATCAACCAGGCTGTGACTCATACGTCAGGCTGCGAGCAGCCGCGTCTAACAGCCTGGCTGATCAGTCCAGGAACCAGGAGGCCTGGTCGACGACCGGGCCGCGGGGACACTAAGCCCCGGAAGCACCTCAAGGTAACCTCAAGGTATCAAGTTGTTCCCGATCGTTAGACATCTGTTAGCCACCAAGACGTCTAATCTTATTCTTCACCTTGAAGGAAACCTGACGGCTGAGTGGACAGCGCTCGGGATTCGTAGTCCTAAAGTCCGGGTTCGATCCCCGGTGGAGGCGGAAACAAATGGGGCAGAGTTTCTTTCACCCCTGATGGCCCTGTTCACCTAGCAGTAAATAGGTACCTGGGAGTTAGACAGCAGCTACGGGCTGCTTCCTGGGGGTGTGTAACAAAAAGGAGGCCTGGTCGAGGACCGGCCGCGGGGACGCTAAGCCCCCAAACTCATCTCAAGATAACCTCAAGATAACCTGACTCATCTTAGGGGCCATCTAGAACACACACTTCAGACCCCCAAACGCCGCAGTATTCACTTGAAAGTGGATAGAGAAGGATTTGGGCAATAACTAAAAACAGAATTAGTATAGAAAGGGATAAAAGTGGTATAAGAAAGGATAAAAGGTTTGAAATATATCACCAAATAGAACGCGAATCTGACTCGTTTAAAATCAGGGGAAGGCCCTGGGTAAATACTGGCTTAGACATATTGCCGTAAATTTATGGAACTGATCAATTTACATGGTGATATAACATATATAAACCAGTCTAGTATAGAAACAAGCCGCTTCCCATGCACCAAGGAACCTTAATACAATGACACGAAGCCGTTACGCAAGCACTTACGAACCTGGGACCAGATTCACGAAGCAGTTACGCAAGCACTTACGAACCTGGGGCCAGATTCACGAAGCAGTTACGCAAGCACTTACGAACCTGGGGCCAGATTCACGAAGCAGTTACGCAAGCACATACGAACGTGTACATCTTTCCTCAATCTTTGACGGCTTTGGTTACATTTATTAAACAGTTTACAAGCATGAAAACTTGCCAATCAACTGTTGTTATTGTTATAAACAGCCTCCTGGTGCTTCCGAGCTCATTAACTGTTTAATAATTGTAAACAAAGCCGCCAAAGATTGAGAAAAGATGGACAGGTTCGTAAGTGCTCGCGTAACTGCTTCGTGAATCTGGCCCCAGATTCCTAAGTGCTTGCGTAACTGCTTCGTGAATCTGGCCCCAGGTTCGTAAGTGCTTGCGTAACTGCTTCGTGAATCTGGCCCCAGGTTCGTACGTGCTCGCGTAACTGCTTTGTGAATCTGGCCTCAGGTTCGTAAGTGCTCGCGTAACTGCTTCGTGAATCTGGCCCCTGGTTCGTAAGTGCTTACGTAACTACTTCGTGAATCTGGCCCCAGGTTCGTAAATGCTTGCGTAACTGCTTCGTAAATCTGGCCCCAGGTTTGGAACAAGAACAAAGACCTTACACTAACAACTAAATCTGGAAACACTACCAGACCTCTCCACACACACCCACGAAGCCACACACCTGAAAACAACAGCCTTATAGACCTAGGGTGTAAGGCTCAAAATGGTGCTCCTTGTTAGGATGCTTCCTCCTCAGCTTCCAAGCAAATTATGACGTATTAGAACGTTGTTACAACCTGCTATATTGGTTGTTATAACGGGTTAGGAGGTGCTAAAACTTGTTCCAACGTTGTACCAACGTCGTAGTTTTGGTGTGTGTGTTTGGCGGGATGGGCGAAGAGTCACAGCTGGTACACACCATGCACACACCTGTACACACATGGCAAGACAACACAGGTGTGTAATTACCACCATCCGCCTCCCCCCCCCCCAATATCCTTCTCAATCTCCCTATTCCTCTCCTGCATTTAGCCCCCCTTTCCCCCCCCCCCAAACACACGAGAAGGGGCCTGACGGCTGAGTGGACAGCGCTCGGTATTCGTAATCCTAGAGTCCGGGTTCGATCCCCGGTGGAGGCGGAAACAAATGAGGCAGAGTTTCTTTCACCTCTGATGGCCCTGTTCAGCTAGTAGTAAATAGGTACCTGGGAGTTAGACAGCTGCTACGGGCTGCTGCTTCCTGGGGGTGTGTAACAGGAGGCCTGGTCGAGGACCGGGCCGCGGGGACACTAAGCCCCGAAATCAAGATAGCCTCCTTAGCCACACTCCTAAAAGCTAAAGTCAGCAGGATAGAAGCTGGACAGATGAGGGGGGGGGGGGTGATGGACAGAAGGGGGTGGGGGCGCGCTGGACAGAAGGGGGTGGGGGCGCGCTGGACAGAAGGGGGTGGGGGGCAGGACAGAAGAGCGGGAGGGGGGGGGAGAGAGAGGGTGGCACAAAACAGCAATAATGACAGTTCACATCATGACAGCCAGGCCTGCAGCGCCACCTGTCACCGGACAAGCCGCCGCCGCCACCACCACCAGCAGGAAAACACCCAAGCAAAAAAACACACGAGAAAAAACACAGTGCATTCACCTGTCAACACCTGATGATCTCTGTCATCTTCCTCACCTGTCAACACCAGGTGATCACTCTGTCTGTCTGTCTGTGTCTGTCTGTCTGTGTCTGTCTGTCTGTCTGTCTCTCTCACACACACACACACACGGCTGACAAATGGAATGCATTAGGCAGTGATGTGGTGGAGGCTGACTCCATACACAGTTTCAAGTGTAGATATGATATGTAGATAAGTGTAGATATTCCTGAGCCCAATAGGCTCAGGAACCTGTACACCAGTTGATTGACAGTTGAGAGGCGGGACCAAAGAGCCAGAGCTCAACCCCCGCAAGCACAACTAGACGAGTACACTGGGGGTGGACGTAACACCTAATCTATCTCCTGAGGCACATATAAATAGGATAACGACAGCAGCGTACTCTACACTGGCAAAAGTTAAAAGATCATTCAGAAACCTAAGTAAGGAGGCATTTAGGGCGCTTTACACTGCCTACGTAAGGCCAGTCTTGGCCTTACGTAGTATGCCAAGTATGCCTCAACTCGTAGTTGAGGCGAGTATGCCGCCTCATCATGGAGTCCCCATCTGAAGAAGCATATAATGAAACTGGAAAAGGTTCAGAGGTTTGCAACGAGACTCGTCCTAGAGTTACGAGGGATGGGATATGAAGAGCGCCTGAAGGAACTGAACCTTACGACACTAGTAAAAAGAAGGGAGAGGGGGGACATGATAGGAACGTATAAAATACTCAGGGGAATTGACAGAGTGGACATAGACGAAATGTTCATACGGAATAGTAACAGAACGAGGGGACATGCATGGAAGCTGGAAACTCAGATGAGTCACAGAGATGTTAGGAAGTTTTCTTTTAGCGTGAGAGTAGTGGGGAAATGGAATGCACTTCAGGAACAGGTTGTGGAAGCAAATACTATTACTAACTTTAAAACTAGGTATGATAGGGAAATGGGACAGGAGTCTTGAGGTTATCTTGAGATGATTTCGGGGCTTTTAGTGTCCCCGCGGCCCGGTCCTCGACCAGGCCTCCACTCCCAGGAAGCAGCCCGTGACAGCTGACTAACACCCAGGTACCAAATTTACTGCTAGGTAACAGGGGCATAGGGTGAAAGATACTCTGCCCATTGTTTCTCGCAGGCGCCTAGGATCGAACCCCGGACCACAGGATCATAAGTCCAGCGTGCTGTCAGCTCAGTCACCGGCTTCCGAGCGGACAGCACAGGGTCAGAATATGGGATGGGACGGAGGGAAGGAATGGTGGCCAACCCCTTGTTTGGACAGTCGCGGGGGATTGAACGCCGACCTGCATGACGGGAGACTGTCTCTCTACCGTCCAAGTGAGACGGGCATGGGCTGGTGAGGGCGTGGGCGGGGCATGGGCTGGTGAGGGCGTGGGCGGGGCATGGGCTGGTGAGGGCGTGGGCCGGGCATGGGCTGGTGAGGGCGTGGGCCGGGCATGGGCTGGTGAGGGCGTGGGCGGGGCATGGGCTGGTGAGGGCGTGGGCGGGGCATGGGCTGGTGAGGGCGTGGGCGGGGCATGGGCTGGTGAGGGCGTGGGCGGGGCATGGGCTGGTGAGGGCGTGGGCGGGGCATGGGCTGGTGAGGGCGTGGGCGGGGCATGGGTTACCCCTAAGGACAAGACAAGAAACCCCACCAATAATTCAGTCCAACTTAGAGATCAGTGAACTTCAGGGTGAGTGTGGGTCGAAGTAGGCCAGGCAGGAGTGGGTGGGCGGTGGTGGTGTGGGCGGTGGTGGTGTGGGCGTGGTGTGGGTGGTGGTGGTGTGGGGTGGCGGCTGTCACTTGCTGACCTCCACACCCACACACACACCCACACTGCTCACACACACACAATACCTGACAATACAATACCTCACATGAACACTGTTGAACAGTGTGTCTAACACTATATGGTAGCCATGAGGGGGGGGGGAAGGGGGGTTCTGAAGGCCCCATGTAGGGCTTCCTCAGTGCAGCCTCCCACCATAGGCCTACCATAGGCCTACACACCATTTATTAAACCAATAAACAAAACAGTCTTCAACCTCCCCCCCCCCTCACCGATCATAATGCTTCACTATACTGTATAATACAGCCCACACACCAAATAATACAGCACACAATATACATCACATACAATACATAATACAATAAGACTTTTACTCCCCAACTTCCAAAAATTCAAATTTGGTCCCATTTTGTAGTACGACGATTTTTGGCCTTAAGTAGACTATACGTCAAAAATGCGACGTGCTATTTGCAGGACAGGAGGAATAGGGAACTATCAGGGGGAAAGCGTCAAGCCATTACAGAAGGGAAGGAATGGTGCCCAACCACTTGTGGACGGTCGGGGATTGAACGCCGACCTGCATGAAGCGAGGTGTATATATATATATATATATATATATATATATATATATATATATATATATATATATATATATATATATATATATATATATATATATATATATACTGCTAGGTAACAGGCGCTTTTTAGTGTCCCCGCGGCCCGGTCCTCGACCAGGCCTCCACCCCCAGGAAGCAGCCCGTGACAGCTGACTAACACCCAGGTACCTATTTTACTGCTAGATAACAGGGGCATAGGGTGAAAGAAACTCTGCCCATTGTTTCTTGCCGGCGCCTGGGATCGAACCCAGGACCACAAGTCCAGCGTGCTGTCCGCTCGGCCGACCGGCTCCCTATATATAATGTTATCAGGGAATGTTATCAGGGAATGTTATCAGGGAATGTTCTATCTGACTATGCTGCCAGTTTTAATGGTATATTTCCCCTCATTGTTCTGTTCATTGTATTAACTGTTCATTGTATTAACTGTTCATTGTATCTGTTCATTGTATTAACTGTTCATTGTATCTGTTCTATGTATTAACTGTTCATTGTATTAGTTCTATGTATTAACTGCATATACTTCTATATTTACCTAACCCGGTCTCTTGTGTATAGCCGCCTGCGGTCTGTTTTAAGAGCGGAACGTTTTCTAATCTTTCTCGGAACGTTTTCTAATCTCGGAACGTTTTCTAATCTCGGAACGTTTTCTAATCTTTCTCGGAACGTTTTCTAATCTTTCTCGGAACGTTGTCTAATCTTTCTCGGAACGTTGTCTAATCTTTCTCGGAACGTTGTCTAATCTTTCTCGGAACGTTGTCTAATCTTTCTCGGAACGTTGTCTAATCTTTCTCGGAACGTTGTCTAATCTTTCTCGGAACGTTGTCTAATCTTTCTCGGAACGTTGTCTAATCTTTCTCGGAACGTTGTCTAATCTTTCTCGGAACGTTGTCTAATCTTTCTCGGAACGTTGTCTAATCTTTCTCGGAACGTTGTCTAATCTTTCTCGGAACGTTTTCTAATCTTTCTCGGAACGTTGTCTAATCTTTCTCGGAACGTTGTCTAATCTTTCTCGGAACGTTGTCTAATCTTTCTCGGAACGTTGTCTAATCTTTCTCGGAACGTTGTCTAATCTTTCTCGGAACGTTGTCTAATCTTTCTCGGAACGTTGTCTAATCTTTCTCGGAACGTTGTCTAATCTTTCTCGGAACGTTGTCTAATCTTTCTCGGAACGTTGTCTAATCTTTCTCGGAACGTTTTCTAATCTTTCTCGGAACGTTTTCTAATCCTTCTCGGAACGTTTTCTAATCCTTCTTGGAACGTTGTCTAATCTTTCTCGGAACGTTGTCTAATCCTTCTCGGAACGTTTTCTAATCTTTCTCGGAACGTTGTCTAATCTTTCTCGGAACGTTTTCAAATCTCTCAGAACGTTTTCAAATCTTCCTCAGACTGACATGGTGAAAATTGTGTGTTTCTGAATGTAATATATGCAAGCATTGTGCTTTTAATAGACGGCTCACTGTTACCCAGTGACTACATTACATTTTCCCCTTTAATGAGACAATTGTATAATTAAGACACTTGTAGCTAATCACTTAAGAGTAGTTGAGTTAATTACGTGTCAATAAGATCATGCCCACCTTATTACACGACCTCGGTAAATGTAACATTTAAGGAAAAACCGTGCCAGACTGAGACAACTGAGCTCATAAAGCCAGCAAGAGATCATAAAATTGGTTTAACTGTTGTTGACTGTGCTGAAGGTCGGGCCTCCAGTCTCCGGGCTCACCATAGCCCGTGCTACTTTGAACTTAGTTCCAGGTAGCGAATCTTTAACAACATCCAGTCTCCACTGCCTCTAACACAAATGGAAAAACTGTTATTTACAAAAGACTATTGTCATTTGTTGACAGTCCTTCACATGTTGTGTTAGGAAATTCCTGTCTATAATGTCTACTAACTTTGCTCCCCACGTTTCCTGCCCCGCCATGGGGATTCCTGGATTCCCAATTGGGGGATTGTAGATTATCAAGATCTTCCCATCTGCTGTCAGAGATCCATGTATGGAGCTTGTGCTTTCTTTGCTACCCTAATTTTCTAGGTCTTCAAACTTCCATTTCCGCTTTATTTATTTATTATTATTTATTTTAGTTTCCAATATTGCAACTATGTCAAGATCTGCCTAACTAGGCAGCGAACAGTAACAAGTGGAGTACCTCAAGGATCGGTGCTGGGATCACTTGTATTTCTAATTTACGTAAATGACATGTTCACAGGAGTAGAATCCTACATGTCTATATTTGCGGATGACGCAAAATTAATGAGAAGATTTGTGACAGATGAGGATTGTAGGGTCCTCCAAGAGGACCTGGACAGGTTGCAGAGATGGTCAGAGATATGGCTACTGGAGTTCAACACGAGTAAATGTAAAGTTATGGAAATGGGATCATGTGATAGGAGACCAAAGGGATAATACACAATGAAGGGGAACTGCGTACCTGTAACGATTTGAGAGAGACACCTGGGAGCGGACGTAACACCTAATTTATCTCCTGAGGCACCAATAAATACGATAATTTGAATTTGAATAACAGCAGCAGCATACTCTACACTAGCAAAAGTTAGAACATCAATCAGAAACCTAAGTGAGGAGGCTTTTAGGGCGCTTTACACTGTCTATGTGAGACCAGTCTTAAGAGTATGCTGTCCCAAAGTTACGAGGGATGCGATATGAAGAGCACCTGAAGGAACTGTGACTTACGACACTAGAAAAAAAAGGGAGAGGGGGGATATGATAGGAACGTATAAAATACTCAGGGGAATTGACAAAGTGGAAATAGATGAAATGTTCACACGTAATATTAACAGAACGAGGGGACATGGGTGGAAGCTTGAAACTCAGATGAGTCACAGAGATGTTAGGAAGATTTCTTTTAGTGTGAGAGTAGTGGAAAAATGGAATGCACTTAAGGAACAGGTTGTGGAAGCAAACTCTATTCATACTTTTAAAACTAGATATGATTAAGGAAATGGGACAGGAGTCATTGATGTAAACAACCGATGGCTAGAAAGGCGGGATCCAAGAGTCAATGCTCGATCCTGCAGGCACAAATAGGCAGGCGCGCACGCATGCACACACACACACACACAGTACGGAAGGGACACGAACAAGGGGACACAGGTGGAAACTTAGTACCCAGATGAGCCACAGAGACGTTAGAAAGAATTTTTTTCAGTGTCAGAGTAGTTAATAAATGGAATGCATTAGGAAGTGATGTGGTGGAGGCTGACTCCATACACAGTTTCAAGTGTAGATATGATAGAGCCCAGTAGGCTCAGGAACCTGTACACCAGTTGATTGACAGTTGAGAGGCGGGACCAAAGAGCCAGAGCTCAACCCCCGCAAGCACAACTAGGTGAGTACACACACACACACAGTGTTATCTTGAAGTGTAGTTGTAGTGTGTGTAGTTTTTATATTACAGGTAGGTCACATACCCACTACACACACTCCACCCCCATTACCCACACATGCCCACTGTGCCCACCTCGGAGCCCCACCCACCACGAAGGGGGTGGGGCTGTGGGTGCCCACTGTGAAGAGGGTCGGCGGCGGGGAGGGCAAGACACCCCCACACACCCATAATCACATCATTAGACAACGCCAACATAACAATGAAAGCACGAGGGAGTGAGGGGGAGGAGAGACAATGAGGACATTCTGCACAACAACCTTCAACTATCATAAGGTTACTGCTCCGCCCACCATCTTCCCTCCTGCTCTAAATATCCCACCGATACATATCAATGGCAAAAGAACCTGTATGGGGTGTCTTCATCAATGGTCGGCCGAGCGGACAGCACGCTGGACTTGTGATCCTGTGGTCCCGGGTTCGATCCCAGGCGCCGGCAAGAAACAATGGGCAGAGTTTCTTTCATCCTATGCCGTTACCTAGCAGTAAAATAGGTACCTGGGTGTTAGTCAGCTGTCACGGGTTGCTTCCTGGGGGGTGGAGGCCTGGTCGAGGACCGGGCCGCGGGGACACTAAAGCCCCGAAATCATCTCAAGATGGTACAGTTATTAGTAATGGGCATCCATCAGTCTTAAGATATTATGGAGTTATGCTCTGGTTTTTGGTTTGGAGTGGCCTCTCCAGGACGCAAAGCCAGGGTAGGATGATATGAAGGGGAAGCTGTTACCCAAGCAGCAGGTCTCCCCTCTCCACGGCACCGAAAGTCTTCAATGGAAAGGCAAACACCAATACGATTAGTTCCAGCGCCGTCGCAGGAACTGAGAGTTCCGGAGTTGATCTCGAAGTTGGTGAAAGAAGACACAGGGACTCCAACCCCGGAGACCGCCGTGGTCGGGGCCGGAGAAGAACCACCCTATCAATGGGAAGAACGACCCCAGCCTCCTGAAGCAGAGCCTTGGCTGCACGAGCTCGGGGAGGTGGACGTCCGAGCCCCGCACCTACGGGTTCCAGAGATCGTCACAGCCCCCTTTCACCTGGGGCCGGCTTCCTTCAAGACCATGCAGAAGGAAGCGGAATAATTATTAAATTACATCAATTATTACCAAGAAGACCAAGAGCACCAAGACCACCAAGAGCACCAAGACCACCAAGAGCAGCAAGACCACCAAGAGCAGCAAGACCACCAAGAGCAGCAAGACCACCAAGAGCAGCAAGACCACCAAGAGCAGCAAGACCACCAAGAGCAGCAAGACCACCAAGAGCAGCAAGACCACCAAGAGCAGCAAGACCACCAAGAGCAGCAAGACCACCAAGAGCAGCAAGACCACCAAGAGCAGCAAGACCACCAAGAGCACCAAGACCACCAAGAGCACCAAGACCACCAAGAGCAGCAAGACCACCAAGAGCAGCAAGACCACCAAGAGCACCAAGACCACCAAGAGCAGCAAGACCACCAAGAGCAGCAAGACCACCAAGAGCAGCAAGACCACCAAGAGCAGCAAGACCACCAAGAGCACCAAGACCACCAAGAGCAGCAAGACCACCAAGAGCAGCAAGACCACCAAGAGCAGCAAGACCACCAAGAGCAGCAAGACCACCAAGAGCAGCAAGACCACCAAGAGCACCAAGAGCAGCAAGACCACCAAGAGCAGCAAGACCACCAAGAGCACCAAGACCACCAAGAGCAGCAAGACCACCAAGAGCAGCAAGACCACCAAGAGCAGCAAGACCACCAAGAGCACCAAGACCACCAAGAGCAGCAAGACCACCAAGAGCACCAAGAGCAGCAAGACCACCAAGAGCACCAAGACCACCAAGAGCAGCAAGAGCACCAAGAGCACCAAGACCACCAAGAGCAGCAAGACCACCAAGAGCACCAAGACCACCAAGAGCAGCAAGACCACCAAGAGCAGCAAGACCACCAAGAGCAGCAAGACCACCAAGACCACCAAGAGCAGCAAGACCACCAAGAGCAGCAAGACCACCAAGAGCAGCAAGACCACCAAGACCACCAAGAGCAGCAAGACCACCAAGAGCAGCAAGACCACCAAGAGCAGCAAGACCACCAAGAGCAGCAAGACCACCAAGAGCAGCAAGACCACCAAGACCACCAAGACCACCAAGAGCACCAAGAGCAGCAAGAGCAGGCCGCCAGAAGTAGGAAAGAACTCCTCCACTGAGTGAGGAGTTCTCACCCGCAGCCTGTTCTCACGAGCGTTCCCAGCTTCAAGAATCTGTCGTACTAAAGTGCCCTAACAGAATATTATATCAGTTTCAAGACCCGCTACCATTTTTTAGTACGATAGTTTTTGGCCTTAGGTGCCTGGAGCATACCTGGAGAGAGTTTTGAGAGTTCTTCCATTTCCCAGGCCTGGCCCTGTCTTGTGATAACATGGTCCAACAGGCTGTCCCTTGTTGTAGCCAGCAGGCCCATAGGCCCACATATCCACTAACCAGGATTGATTGATTGATAAAGATTAAGCCACCCAAAATGTGGCACGGGCATGAATAGCCCATAAGTGGTGGCCCTTTTGAGCCATTACCAGTATCAAGAGCTGATACTGGAGATCTGCGGAGGTGCGACTGCACCCTGCGTGACGGGAGATGACCCGTGCACTAACCAGGTTGGTCTGGCACCTCTTATAACCTACTTTATCTAAGGTCCCCTCCCTCCACTGACAGACCACAGTAGTGCATACAGTGGGTTGCATCCCCCCCCCCACACTGATCAACCACTACAATGTGTGTGGGAGGGTAATATCTTCCCCCACAACTCCCACACAAACTGCCAAGCCTCGCCAGCAACAGGTCCACCAAGCTCAACAACAATCACTCTGTAAGGTCGACGAGAGCACTGGGTCACGTCACGGTTTATTATGAGCCTTCTTGAGGTTATCTTGGGATGATTTCGGGGCTTTAGTGTCCCCGCGGCCCGGTCCGCGACCAGGCCTCCACCCCCAGGAAGCAGCCCGTGACAGCTGACTAACACCCAGGTACCTATTTTACTGCTAGGTAACAGGGGGATAGGGTGAAAGAAACTCTGCCCATTGTTTCTCGCTGGCGCCCGGGATCGAACCCAGGACCACAAGTCCAGCATGCTGTTCGCTCGGCCGACCACCTTGCCTTTAATTGCAATCATCTTCCTGAATGTTGCTCTTAAGTCCCATGAAATGTAGTTTAAGATCTCACTTAAACAATTATCTTCAAGAAATTGCGGAGCTTCTAAACGAGGAGGGTAGTCGTACGATGCTTCACTTCACCGTGTGGCTTGGAAAACTCGTATCAAGTCCCTTAAACCTGCCAAAAAACACACACATATCAAGTCCCCTAAACACACAATTTGCACCTATAAATGTTTTATGTATCACAATTGTGAGAGAAAAGTCTCCAAGTTTCCAACAGCCAACTTCAACTAGCACATCAGACAGCATTGACAAGCGCACTAAGCTGGGCAATCTGCTCTCTCATGTGCCCAAAGTGCACATGGCTGGTGCACAAATTCTATTTCCATTATTACCGGGATAAACCCTAGCTTGTTTGTACCCGATCGGCCGGGTCCACCTTGTTTGGAGCCGGTCGGCTGAGCGGACAGCACACTGGGCTTGTGATCCTGTGGTCCTGGGTTCGATCTCAGGCGCCGGCGAGAAACAATGGGCAGAGTTTCTTTCACCCTATGTCCCTGTTACCTAGCAGTAAAATAGGTACCTGGGTGTTAGTCAGCTGTCACGGGCTGCTTCCTGGGGGTGGAGGCCTGGGCGAGCACCGGGCCGCGGGGATACTAAAAGCCCCAAAATCATCTCTAGATAACCCCTAATGAGAGCCCCCGATACAAGGAGTACTGTAACGATGCTACGAGAGGTCGTTGTGTGGTTAGTCAACAAGGAGATAGAGGAAGCTTTGCAATTCCATTGTTAGAAGCAAGGGTCAGACATTGGTCATGGAGAACTAATAGTGGGAGAATTCTGCCCCTGGTAATGCAGAGGATATTAGGCCAGGTCAAGTCATCCTCAACGGTCAACTCAGCATCTGTGATGTGCCTCTCACGCCATGGCTCATAATGATGGATAAGCCTATATCTTGAGGTTATCTTTAGGTTATCTTGAGATGATTTCGGGGCTTTAGTGTCCCCGCGGCCCGGTCCTCGACCAGGCCTCCACCCCCCAGAAGCAGCCCGTGACAGCTGACTAACACCCAGGTACCTATTTTACTGCTAGGTAACAGGGACATAGGGTGAAAGAAACTCTGCCCATTGTTTCTCACCGGTGCCTGGGATCGAACCCGGGACCACAGGATCACAAGCCCCGCGTGCTGTCCGCTCAGCCGACCGGCTCCCATAGCAACCCATTATGACCAAACACCTACAGTTGTAAATAAGTGGGACGCACTAGATGAGGAAATTGTTGAAGCTAATTTGATACCCAATTTTAATTGTAAATGTGATAAGAAAAATGGACTGAATTACCGCCCTGAACCAATAATGGTCAAAAGGCGGGGTTAAAGAGCAGATGCTCGACCCTGCAAGCTCAACTAATAAAGCACAGTAGGCAAGGACAGCCAAGCGAGCACGAGTTAAGGCACATGCACGCATGAACGAGGTACAGTGCTCGTTGGGAAACTCCATTCAGTTTTAAAATATGTACAAGGAACAAGGGTGTTAAAAATCCTAACAAATGACTAACAGTTAAACGGTGGGGTCCAGGAGCTGGAAACCACACAAGGCAGGCAAACAAACAAACTACTTTTCCTAACCCCATTAATACAACCACACAAGGCAGGCAAACAAACTACTTTTCCTAACCCCATTAATATTCAAAGAAAACAAACTTATCTAATCTTACTAGTTCACTCCCCAAATCTGCATTTATAAATTATGCAAAACGTCTTCCATGTCATCTAACGTGCAGAAATCCATCCATCCAAGAGATTACCCCCAACATGTATCCCCCCCCCCCCGGCCTAATCCTTCACATCCTGTCTAGCATTCATTCATGGTGCACAACCCTTCCCCTCACTCCATCCCCCCCAAACACACACACACACTACCACTACCACCTCACCTTGACACCATACCTGCACCCATACCAGGGCAAGACGGCCACCCAGTGATGGCAAGAAAAAATACTTTCTGCCCATTCATGCTTGCACACCTCTCTCCAGACTTACAAACATGGCCTCCAGTCTGGCACTCATTCACACCTACTCTTTTAAAACATTTCCGAGACATATAGTGTGTGGGGTGTGTGAGCGTGCCCACACTACTAAAGATATAAGCCTCATGCTTGTTGAAGCAACTGTGTCAGAAAAGAGGGGTTGGTGTTGGGGTAAGGGGGGATGGTGGAAGGGTATCCGACAGGGATGGGGGTGGAGGAGTTAATAAAGTTTCTGTATACACACCTGGGTTTACCTCGGATGTGGGCCACCTTGGATTGTAGTGACCAACAACCTTCACCGTTCCTCTCTGACATCGTTATAACATTATGCCCAAACTTTGCCAGTGCAGTGAATATATGAATTTGGATCATCCCACAATACTTTATTCTTTACACAAAACCTAAGGTTGAGCTATCATGCCATTCTATAGCAGGACAAGAGTGAATATAATCCCCAATCACACCCCCATTTTATTCCACACAATACCCGAGTAACACATCACTCCCCTACAATTTAAAAGCCTCAGACTATCCAACGTTGTTACTCCACTTCATGTTGACCAGACCACAAACTAGAAGCTGAAGGGACGACGACGTTTCGGTCCGTCCTGGACCATTCACAATTGACTTGAGAATGCTCCAGATGCAGATGCAGATGCGGACCGAAACGTCGTCGTCCCTTCACCGTTTAGTGTGTGGTCTGGTCAACATACTTCAGCCACGTTATTGTGACTCCTCGTCTGCACTCCACTCCATGTTACTTTGCAGCATTATACCACTACATAAGACCTCCACCATACTTGCCCCACGACACTCCACTTAATGCGCCACTGCTTGAGAGCAACAGAATAATTTTCATGTTTCTATTTCATTCCACAACCCCATTCTTCTCCCAATTTACACTCCAGTTCATGCCACCCCACAGCAGCCATAAGATAAAACACCATCCCTTTCCTTCATTCCACTACACTATGCCATAGGATTAATGTATGTCAAGTTTATTCCACTGCACCATAAGTGTTACGGGATGATAATCTGTTCCACTCCATAACATTCCACCCCACCACAACAGCTCAAGGATATTTCCCATGACCAACTTTACGAACCATAAGCAGTGTGTGGGGAAAAGCTGGTATAGAGGGGAATTATCAGAAGCACCTAAATCAGCAGATATAACACCCTTTACACAAGAGAGGGAGCAAAGCACTGGCTAAAAACTATAAGACTAGTTGCACTAACATCACATACACTAAAAGTTTGTTAGAGAGAGATCAGGAGTTGGAGCTCCAGTTTCATGAAGAACAATGACCTCCACAATCCAGGCTAACATGGAACTAGAGCAGGAAGATCGTGCCTTTCATAGTACTCGATCACAATGACAATCATTGAAGCATTAGAAAAACATAATGCAGATGTGATATACACCGACTTTGCAACGGCATATGATAAGGGTGATAAGGGAAGGGATAAGGGGGTGACAAAATGAGAGCAAATCAGCAAAAAAAAAAAAAAAAAAACAGGTACAGTGGCACCTCGACATACGATTGCCCCGATTTACGATAATTTTGAGTTACAATAAAAATTTGATCGAAAAATGCGACTCGACTTACGATAGTGTCGTCGACTAACGATATTCGTTAATACACGTTCGGGTCGACCGAGCGCATGGTTCCCGGTCACGCGGGCTGACCTGCCCCAGTTTACTAGAGTCGCTCGCTTAATGACCATCATGCTTATAAGAAATTCCATTTTTGTGGTGATTTTTTGCTTTTTGAACATAAAACTGATTATATATATATATATATATATATATATATATATATATATATATATATATATATATATATATATATATATATATATATATATATATATATATATATATATACATATATATATATACATATATATATACATATATATATATACATATATATATATACATATATATATATACATATATATATATATATATATATATACATATATATATATACATATATATATATACATATATATATATACATATATATATATATACATATATATATATACATATATATATATACATATATATATATGTAGGGGATAGTATATATATATACTATCCCCTACATATATATATATATATGTAGGGGATAGTAGTAATGAGGACTGCAGAAGGCCTATTGGCCCATACGAGGCAGCTCCTATTATAACCACCGAAGGAGATGTCGTCGTCCCTTCAACTTCTAGTGTGTGGTCTGGTCAACATACTTCAGCCACGTTATTGTGACTCCTCGTCTGCAAATATGATCAACAGTGGATATATTGTCTAATTTTTCTCCAGTTAAAAATAAAACAATAAAAAATGTTAATCTCAACTACTGTATTTACCAAGAAGGCAAACCATTAAAAAATGGATCACTTAAGGCTGCGAGTGCATCATCTTGAGGTTATCTTGAGATGATTTCGGGGCTTAGCGACCCCGCGGCCCGGTCCTCGACCAGGCCTCCTTTTTGTTATGCACCCCCAGGAAACAGCCCGTAGCAGCTGTCTAACTCCCAGGTACTTATTTACTGCTAGGTAACGAGGGCATCAGGGTGAAAAAAACATTTTGCCCATTTGTCTCCGCCTCCACCGGGGATCGAACCCGGAATCTCAAGACTACGAAGCGCTGTCCACGCAGCTGTCAGGCGCCCTATATTCCAACATGCCTTATATCATGCCTATATTTCAACCACAATGTTCAATTTAGTTCATTTTCAGAGATGTATTAATTAATTACTAGCTATACAGTACTATACGACTAAATACCAGTCACAGCTTCGTGTCATCCTTTTTAAATGATACAAAAATCAGCATGAACGTTTCCTCTGTAGAAGGCACTGAAAAACTACAAGCCAATATAAATAAAGTTTTCGACTGGGCAAGTGAAAATACTTCATACTTAATGGTGGTAAGTTCCAGGTACAGTACTGAGGTATGGTGGAAAGAAGCAACAAACGAAACACAGGGTACACGATGCAATCAGACTTGCTCATAAAAGGAAAGCCATATGTAAAAAGATTTGGGAATTATGTCTGACGACCTGATATTTAGTGAACATAACTGAGCAAATATAGCGGCGGCCAGGAAGATGATAGGATTGATTATGAAAACGTTCAAATCCAGAGACCCCACAGTAGTGCTAAAACTATTTAAATCACTAGCGCTGTCCCGTATGGAGTACTGCTCAGTACTCACTTTCCCTTTCAGAGCTGGAGAGATCTGGGAATACAGAGAACCTATACGGGACGCATAGAAAATATAAAACGTTAATTTTCGTGCTACGTCGTTTAATTTGGTATCAAATTGTTCACAATAGAACACACTAAAGGAATATTTACATACAAG